TTACATTTATGAAAGTTGGGGCTAAAATTTGGCCATATATGATAAAAACTTATATTGAAAAGTATAATCGTTGTTAACGAACTATAAACACGTGTCTTTTTAAGAATCTCATGCACGTTAGTGTGATTGTTGTTTATGTACGAGTGTGATATTTGACAATGAATTGTTAATACTTGTCTTTCTTTACTATGAATGTAGTGCACATCGACGCTCAACTATCGTTCTTGTAATCATATGCGAGTATAGTTATCATTGATAACAAAATTATTAAAATGTATCTTTTTTCTTTAATAAACCTTACATACATCAATGGTTGACAATTATCTATACAACATTATTATCGTCAAAATTCGAACTCAAAAACTTCACATACAAGAGTAAACGCTATTATCCGCCTCGCAAAGAAATAGAAACCATAAAAATGAAAAAGAAAAAGGTAGAGAAAATATTCCTCCTTCCACTATTTTAGGAGAAAAGCAGATAAAGAAAGAGAAGGCCAACTAGCAGGTGGGGTGGGGACAGTGCTTGATAATTAAATTAAATATTTGGTATAATAAAAGCTAGTACAAAACGAAACTCCTTCCCTCTCTCTCTCTCTCACGGGAGCTCTGAGTTCCTCTCCCCCCAAACCTAATGGCTTCGGCTTCGATCTGATCAAACCCACCTCCAAAACCCTTCCTTGATCACCAGATTCAGCAACCCAATTCGGAGCCTGCTCGGATCGGGACCTCTTGGAGATTCGGAGCTCCAGGTGAGATAGAATTTCCCCCAAATTGTGTTCTATTTTCTGTCGTTTCAATTCGTTTTCCATTTTAATTTGGAATCGTTGATATTTTAGCTATTTGGTCCCCTGTGTATCTGTAATCTGAATAATATGAATTAGGGTTTTACGGTTAGTGTCCAATTAGTGAAGAAAGGATGATTCTTTTTTGTTATTATGCATATTTAAGCTGTAAACATCTGGAAAGCTGCTTAATTGAAGTGAAATTTCCAGTTTTTGAGCTCGATTTCAAGTCTTGATCTTTGAATTTGTTTATATGTAGCACAGCTGAAGCTATCTAAGTCGTAGTTTAAAGTATTTGTTTTGGTAATTATGTGTTTCCGTTGCGCAAATTGAGTTGCCCCAGTATCCTTTGTATGCAATTTGGTGTAGAAAAGTGGTTTTTGATGTTTTGGCAGGCATTGGAAAAAAGATGAAATTGGTTTTCGCTCAATGCATAGTTAATCTTAAAATACGGTTTATTAAATTGGGTTGATGATATATAGGTGGTAGCAAATTAGCGATGTCGACTCCTGCAAGGAAGAGGCTGATGAGAGACTTCAAGAGGCTGCAACAGGACCCGCCTGCAGGGATTAGTGGGGCGCCACAGGATAACAATATAATGTTGTGGAATGCTGTTATATTTGGGTAAGTTAGAAAAATGCAATGCATAAAAGAAATGTACTGTTGTTTTCTCTTCTATTTTGCAACATTAATTTTTCATTTTTCCGGTATGTTTAAGTACGGTTGGATAAGCAATTTCTCATTTCTTGTCTGGTTTGGATTGCAGTCCCGATGATACACCTTGGGATGGAGGTCAGTTAATTCTTGCACTGAAGCTTTGATTATGTTAATGTGTTTCAGACGTGGGATATTCTATTCTCAGTTTTACATTCAGGAATGAAGACAAACATCCTGTACAGAACTTTACGTTATTCTTTAGTTTAACAGCGTGGAATCACAATTTCTGTTTCTTTTTTTTTTTCAGAGTTTAAGCTTTCTTCTTGATGAATTAATTAGAAAATTTCCTCCATTGTTTGTGTAGTTGTGCCATTTTTCTCATTGATGTGACAATGGTATGCATATTTCTGTTAAACAAGCTTAACTATGTTGATGTATACATTAAAGAACTTTACTTGGAGCTATACAGGCACATTTAAGTTGACTCTTCAGTTTACGGAGGATTATCCAAACAAACCACCAACAGTCCGGTTTGTTTCTAGAATGTTTCATCCAAATAGTAAGTTGGAGCACACATATCCTGACATGAGCATTTACTTCGTGTTACTCGTTAAACAATTCTCCTCTGGTTACTAACTTCAATATTCTTTCAAATTTGGTCAGTTTATGCGGATGGAAGTATTTGTTTGGATATTTTACAGAATCAGTGGAGTCCTATATATGACGTGGCAGCTATACTCACGTCCATCCAGGTATGGTTTGATTGTGTGTGTAGCATTGTTATTTCCTTGGTTATATTTATGAATCTACAAAGCAGGTAACCAGGTAATCATGTGAAAAGAAGCATGTATGTATATAGCTTAAGAGATCGTCTTTTGGATGTTAATATTTTGTTTCCGCACCTTAGTGTCTCAAGGAAGAAGGTTATAGTAGTACCCTACATATGTAAACACGGGTGTATACGTTGAGAAGATCCTAACTGTTTGCATTTGTTTATTGCAGTCACTACTATGTGATCCCAACCCAAACTCTCCTGCAAATTCAGAAGCTGCTCGCATGTTTAGCGAGAACAAGCGTGAGTACAACCGAAGAGTGAGGGAAATCGTGGAACAGAGTTGGACAGCAGACTAACCCCGTCAGGGGGGGGGGAGCTTGTAGGACTGCCCGAATTTGTCCGAAGGCGTCTTATGAGTAGCATGGCTGCTGTGAGAATCATTGTGCAAACTTATCTACATTTATGCTGCATTTTCAATGTTTTCATCCCGAATTACGACGCGTAGGATTTGCTTTGTCCTTTTTAAGAATATGTCTTGCCAGTTGACATTGGTGAAGCTCATGTAAAATAGTGTTGTGTATCAATTTGCATTGGTTTGTTATGAACTTGGTTCAGTATTTATCAAAATCTATGGTGAGATGCAAGAAAATTGAATTTCATTGCCGACGTTGGAAATCACTCTAAACCTAAAGGATGTAAAATATAGTGTAAGCAATATTCTACTGATCTAAACTTCTTGAAGGGGATTCAAACTTTAGATGAATAGCTAGATTGGAAGAAAATGTTAAAGTTTCAAAGAGACGGGCCGAAGTCTACCACTAATAGCATCGATACCACCTCACTTTTTTAATAGCATTGATACCGTCTCATGTTTTTTTTTTTTTTTTGAACAAACGATATTATCTACACTAAGGGAGAGGGTAGGTTTAGCCTCACAATGTGCTAGCAATAATGTGGTTCAACTTCGTTTTTTGTGAGAATCAAACCTAAGATTTCTCATTTACAAGTGAAGATGAATACCATTAAATTGTAGTACTAAATGACAATACCGCCCCACTTAATCACTCGTGCAATCAATAAGTGTGGGGTTTTATGCAGAAAACTTCAATACGATTAGAAGTGAAACCAATTGATATAAGTTATACCTTTTAACGGCTAAAGTGAGACTTTTTGCTTTATTCAAAAATCTCTTCTACCCAACTACTCTAGTCGATTATCAGTTGTATTTTTTTATGTCGTTGTCTCATTACAAAAAATTTAAGTCTTTATTTTTTCTTCCTACAGTATTGAGTTAGAAGTATTTTATCTTAAGTTTAATATTACAATAATTTGGACTTTCCAAACTTAAGCCCTAAGTTTTACTGTTCACATGGTAAACTTCCCAAACAAGTACTCAAAAACTTGATTGAGCGGTCACTCACTGGTACTATATAAAAATAAAGGGCTTCAGGCTCGATCGATCATCATTCAGAACTTTCATTACCTTCATTCACTACCCAACATGTTGGTCGACCTTTCCCACAACCCTCTCCCTCTTCACTTCCCATGGCTCATGCTTCCTGACCACCACCGTCACCACCACCACCACCACCACCGCGCTCATGACGGCACTGAAGTCTACGAAAACCAACAGCTGAAGTGTTTCTTCAGCCTCTACACCAACCAAACCCACTGTCTCGAACTGCCCGAGGCTTTCGAAAAGACTGTATGTGGCTCGTCATCCGGTTGGCTGATCTTGCGCGACGAAACCACGTCGTCGGTCATCCTCCTCAACCCTCTCAACCGCGCCCAAATCGCTCTCCCAGAGCTCTCCTCCTCTCCGTTTTACGATCAAGACCCTTCACGTGTTCTTCACAAAGCTGTGTTGTCCTCAGACCCTTCTCGCTGTCCATTCGATTACAAAGTGTTGGCGGTTTTCGGAGAGAAGCGAAGGCTCATATGCTACAAAGCGAGGGACAAGACATGGACGATACTACACGATGCAGGGAATAACTATGAAGACATTATTTTGTTTAATGGGGAGGAGTTGCTTGCCGCTACTGACATTGGAAAGCTCGTTTCGTGCGATCTTGATGACGATGGGTGGTTTTCGCTGAGCGTTAATGAAATCGCTCCCCCTTTTACCTTCAAAGGAGGCAAAGTTTATCTTGTCGGCATTGGCGGAGAGCTCGTGATGCTGATAAGGTTTGTGCAGGACAACCCTCGTTACGGCCATGAGACTTATGACTTTGAGGCTTACAGGTATGAACAGTTCGAAAGCGAATGGGAAGCCATCAACGGCTTAGGGGAGTGGACGATTTTCGTGGGGAAAAACCACACTACCGCCATTAAAGCTCAAGATTTCAAGGGCCTGATAAAACCGAACTGCATCTACTTCACTGACGATAGTTTGGACATGGAAGATAGCTTGATGGTTGGCCACGATTCGGGAATCTTTAGCATGGAAGAAGGAAAATTTGAGGCGCTCGGATGTGATTTGAGTGGATTCATGTACGTTTGGCCTCGTCCAGTCTGGTTTATGCCTAACATGGCTTGAAACATGTGTTTCTTTGGATGTTTTTCTCTTTAATGTACAATTATGGATGATTCCACGTTGATTCAATTAGTAATCGAAGAACAAGACGTAATTTTCATATTCTATTTTAATTTTCTTAAAATCGCTTCTTATTTTCTTTTGAATCGCGACGTTCTCATTAGCAATTCAATCCATGACATAAATTGTAACATAAATCACAGGTTACTATACTGCAGAAGAAGAAAAAAAAGAATCGCAAACGCTTCGGATGAACAGAAATCACAAACTAATGCCTAGCCTAAAAAAGTATAAGATTATGCCAGAAAATAGTACAGACTTGACCAACAAATACTTTGGTTCAGCACAAGACATCACCAGCAAACTGTATCACAATAACCAAACAAAGCCCGGTTTTAATCCAACGGCAGACGAATACAATTGAGCCTCTGAAACCTTTACACAGGAAATCCCCACAGAGCAAAAAATGAAGACAAACCCAACAAGAACAAGAGATTGACATCGGCATTTTCTGTATGTTTACGCTTCGGTCACATTGATAGCTTCCGTCGAGGGAGCATCCTACGGCAGACAGATTAAGATACGGTCAGTGTTAATCCAGATTAAAGTGTAGTGTAACAAACAAGGCTAACTGAGTACGCGAAACCGTAGTGTAACAAACAATCACCTGATTTTCTTTGTTCTCCTGAAGTGCTTCTTCTGCACGAGTAGGGTTAACTGAGTCTGCGGCAGCGTTGAACTATTAAATAATGCACAACAAAGGTAACGAGGAAAGATGATTACGCATAGGACACACTCGACTACTGACTAACCTTGTTCACATGCAGTTTGATTCCCCTGCTTCTTCTTCCTGTCCTTTACTTTGTTAGAATCTTGCACACTCGGCTTCTGGGGTTTCTTAACAGTAGATACGCGAGCACCATTGTCACATATGGGTCCTGAATTCGAAGAACTCTTTGCTGAAGGTGCCCTAGTCCTGGCTGCCGGAGTGCTTTTAGGAGCAATCTCCTTCTTGGCTGCGGCCTTCACTGGAGAAACTTGAGCAGCTTCAGTGTTGAATGACTTGGGTTTCAGTTTCCCACTTCCCATTGTAGAAGAGCAGCTCTTGGCATCATCATCAGAAGACCGAGTCCCCTCGTCGAGCACCTGAGAACAGGTTTCAGAGACCTGAGCCTGCTCATTTACTGCAACAGTTTTGCTCTCCAGTAATTCCTTCAGAGGGTCTTCAAGGTCACTAAGCTCGTACCGATCAATGTAAGATTTTAGCTCCTGGCGCAGTTGAAGAGACTGACAAAATTTGAAGAAAATAACAACATATTCAGTTCATCTCGCATTCAAATATAAATTAGAGTGGATACGCAGTCAAATGTTCAACCCAAAAGGTGTGAAATGGGAAATGGAAACAATGGGACACACAAGTTGTACCTCACATCCAGCCTCCAAGGCTAGTTTGAAAAACCCGAGTGAAATCGAGTGCTTGGCAGCAGCCTCAGAAAGCTTAATTTGCTGCAGCCAGTAAGATGGTGAGGCCAGAACATTGAACTTCTTCCGGCTTGTCGGTCTAGAGACATCAGAAGAAGCAGGGGATTCACTTCTCACAGACCTCCTTGATCTAGCCTCAGAAATTGGAGTGATGTTGCCACCAAGTTTCGGAGCTGGAGTAGTGGGCGGCTTGGAAGGAACAGAGAGCCTTCTGGTCGGCTTGGCAGGCTTGTCCTTGCCAGAGAGATCAAGAACCCCCACACTTTTACTCATATTTGATGCAGGCCTTCCCCTAAAACAAAGAAACATCCCACATAAACCTCAACCAATTATCGAATCATGTCTAAGCTCAAAACCACTCTGCTTATGCGTAGAAAATTAAAAGAAAACTAACGAAAAGTCCATAAAAACTTTAGTTAAAGGTGTAGTGAATACTACCAGGAAAAGGTAAAAATGTGGTTTTTCGTTAAAAGTGAACAGTACCGAAAGTGTTTCGTTAAAACTCCGAAAAATCATAAAGGAATTGGGACTAATCTGTAGCTTAACATTACGCAACTCGTAACTCTATTCTTTAGTGACAGAACATATCAGCAATTTAGCCGTTATAGATTGCCAAAGATTGCAAAACACAGAACAAACTCAGCATTGCTCGAGCAGTACCAACAATTCTCCACAACAAAAGTTCAATTCTGTTCCCCTAGATCAATTAACATTTGCTAATATACCATCAAATTGTTCAATTTATGTGAATCGGGACATCTTACACGCCTACAATTTCCCCAAAATTTAATCTTTCACGCACAATTGATCAATTAAATAGCTTTTCTTACTGCCTATTCGAAACATGCAATCGAAACCATCCCAATCACCAGATTCTAATTGCAAGTGAAATCATATAAATCATATAAAACATCAGCCCTATCACATCACCATCATCAAACCATACCTCTTGGTGGCAGAATTGTTAGAGGAGGGTTCAGCGGCCGCCGCCGGCAGCTTCTCCTCCTTCGTTTTAGACCCCGAACGGAGCGCATACCGAAGAAGCTTCCCTGAAACAACCAAAATCCACACCCAGATCTCACACCAATTTTCACAAAATTCACAAACAAACCCACAAAGATTTTGAATTTACCAGATTGGGCGGATTGAGCAGATTGGGGTTCCTCCATTCGATCGAATCGATTTGAATTCTCAAATTCTTCTTCTTTTTTCCTTCACTTCTGTAAGCAACAACGTCTCAGAAACTGGCTTTTATATTCAATTTCCCTCTTTTTATTTTTTCCTTATTTTTTTTGAGTTATTGTTTGGGCGGCAAAGCTGTAGGAATACCCTACACGCGCCTTGATGACAGAATCTCGCTTACTCGCGTTCTGATGCGCGCCTCTCCCCACCATTCTCCACGTGTCGAACCCTCTATGGTCGCACGAGATTTAAGTCAGCGGGACTTTTGTTTTCGCCATTGTCCGCAGCTTTGTTACGCTGGGATGGAGCGGAGGGGATTAGGAACGGATGTCGACACGTGGACGGCTAACGTCAAATGATGATGAATTAAACGGCTGGCGCCGCATGGGGCCCGCGGATATTATAATTTTAGAAGATAAAGTTCGAATTTTGAATTTCAAATCCTGAGCCGTTGAAACCGCTTTTGCGGTTAAGGATTTTGACGAGATGGACGGAGATCGTTTTTTCAACTTTTGCCTTTTGTCTCCCGGTCAAAAAAAAAAAAAAATAGAAAATGTTGTTTTCTTTGTCGTTTGGGTCGGACTTTGTTTTTTAATGGGCTTGGGTAGCAATGATGGGCGAGCTTCTCCGGCCCATTGGGCCAAACACCAAATAGATGTAATGACGCACATGTCCCGTTGCTCTCACTAAAATATCTCTCTCCGCATAACTCATAGCGCGTTTACTAATCCGTAATTAAATTGAGAATAATTGAATTAAGGATGAATTGGATTGAGGAGGAATTGAAATGAGATAGAATCAGAATCAAATTCCTGTTGAAGTTGTTTACTAAAACTGTCCAGAATCGGAATACAATTTCATAAAGTTGTTTACTATTTAGCAGAATCGGAATATAAACCAGTATGATTACTAAAATGCCCTTGTCTCAAATCAAATATTTTATATACTTTTTTTTAATAAAATTTGATATAGTATATAATGGTAAGAAAAAATTAAATTGCTTTTTATTTCATAGACATACTAAAATGATTTTGTTTATTTTTTTTATAAATTTAAGTATTGACTTTAATATCTACATTTTCTCACTCAAGTTGTAGCTTTTTCTCTTCGGCATATGTATGGGTAGTGCATAATGTGAATGAGCATAGGATTATGCTTAATTAGCTAGAAGGACATGGGTTGGGTGAAGATAGAAAATGAATGAGTTGGGTGAAAAGAAAAATAAGTCTAGGGTTAAAAGGATAATCTTGAAAATAATGAAAGTAAGTGAGGGTATAAAGGGAAAACAATTATCATTCCGATTGTTTGGCCAATCCGGAATCCAAATACCTTATATATGTTGGGAATCCAAATCCTCCAATTTAAGGAATTGGATTCCATTTTTGTGTGGGCCCCACACACTTTTTGATTCCTCCCAATTTTAGTAAACACAGGTATAATACGTAATTGGAATTAGATTCCTTATTCTCATTCCGATTACGGGTTAGTAAACGCATTATCAAGGTGTTATGAAATTTAATACTGTAGACCATATGTCGCATTAATCGTGATTAATTTCGTTAGATAAGAATATGAAATTCTAGGTTCCAACATATTATCTCATGCCAAATTGTTTTAGGCCTGATTTGGAAGTGTGTTTAAAATGATTGAAAAACTTTTAAGAGAATTTTTTGGGTTCCAAAAGCACTTGAAGTGATTTCTGCTAGAATGATAAAGTGTTTTTCTGGAATTCATACATTTTTATTAAGGATTGATTCTAAAAATATTTTTTTTACCAAAAATGCTTTTAACTATGTTAAAAGTACATTTAAATAAGCCGTTAGTAGTGTAGTGTAATTACTAATTATGTTTGTTAGTTGGATTGACAACTTGGTCCTAACCGTGTACTTGATTTGGTAGGGTATCTACCTTCTCCATTGTAGAGTAGTAGGCTAGCATTCAATTGATGGTACGGTTGTTAGATGACATGTCCTACACAGAACCAGGATTCTCTCCTTAGCATTTCCCTAGGGATCCCGCAATCTTGTCCGTTCATTTTATATCGTGCGGTCAGTTTTCGTTATGTACTATTCATATGTGAATTTTAAAATTTAAATTTTAAATGATTTCTGACCGCACGATACATAATGAATGGACATGATTGCAGGATCCCTAGGATCCTTAGGGAAATGCTCAGGAGAGAATCCTGGTTCGTCCTACACATATATGTTGTAATATGAGATTGTAAATAGTACCAACCCCAAAGGCCACGAAGTATTTCAACATTCTAACAAAAAATTAAGATATAAATGATTTCTCTCATACTACAGTTCAATGTATTTTTTTTTAAGTGTGTAATTGAGCAAACAAGTCGTGTTTATCGTATTCGTGTCGTTTTTTTGTCATACTTGTAATTTTAAAGGATTCTTAATAGTTGTCCCAACAATAATCCGATTAGTTAACGGACTATGTTGTTTCGTGTCGAGTTAACATGTCATGCTAGAAGTTTTCATGTGTAATGTCTAGATTTGGCAAAAGATATCTTATCATGTTTTTAACGGGTGACCCAATATAACTCAACTTGTTTACAATTTGACCCAAACCTTTTAATGTCATATTGTTTCGTGTGAGTTAATGGTCATGAAAATGTTTTTAATTGTATAATAAACAAAGAAAATAATTTGTCTACACTCTTTCCTTATTTAGTACACCTCTATTAAGAATGTACACATACAAAAAAAATGACGTGCGGAAACCACTCTCTTAAGATTGTTTCAAATTGAGATTTCTTCTTGGTACAAACCCATCTATTAGTCACAACAAACAAGTACAACACAAGATAGGAGAAAAATAATAGGAAGTGAAAGTTATTTTTGGTATCATTTTTCCTATTTTTATAGTTTTTACTTTCATTTTCTCATTGTTGGTGACCACAACGAAAGGGCTGTTGCCTTTGCCATAAAAGGGCAGACCAAGTTTGATGAACATAACCGATCAAGTCTTCACTCTCTTGACCCGTTTGACCACCGCTGCCTAATCCAACGGCCATAAGCCATTCACGCGCGCACCCGCGCCTCGGGCTCAATTTACAGTTGGGAGGACATAACCGTCATTTCCCTCATGCTTGGGAATACATAAAGACGCTGGCACCCTTGGCTCCGAAGTAACCAACTGCACGCTCGGGACTGACAACGCATCTTTATTCCTACCCAACCTAATAATCCCCTACAATCAACATCATCATAAGATCACTGTTCTCACCGTTGGATTACAGTACAACTCCAAATCGAACCAATCGGTCAAAACAATCTGACAATCTCCAGTCCAGCTGGGAATTTATGAACGACCCCAAATTTTTTTACCCTACGTCTAACCGCACTGGATTCCAGTTTTTTGCAGTCACCCATATTTTTGAAATTTAGGTATTTTATTTGGGTCGCATCAGTTCAGGCTGCAGAGTAAAAGCAAAGGTTGAAGCTTTTTCAGTTTTCTTTATATTTGGATTGAATTTTTTTCTGGGTTTTATGCACCATTGCACACTGTCTTACTCACTCATGGTACATTTTTCCTTCTTTGTTCTTTGTTTCTCTGTAAATTTTCAATCTTTTTGCATTCTGTTGCAGAAAGCTCAAATCTTTTTTTCTGGGTTTTGCTAATTTTGGCTGAAAAATTTTGGGTTTCTGTTTTTTTTAAAATTTCTTCAGGAATTGTAGATTTGGGATTTGGAAGGTCCACATTTGTGAGGTAAGTTTCAGATCTGGTTTAGCTCTGCCCAGTATGATTAGCAGGTTAATTAAGCTGTAAGATCTTGTGGGTTGTGGAGTTTTTAGTTAGATTTAAGTGAAAGTGCTGTGATTTGCAGTTTTTTTTTTTTCTGGAGTTTTTGGTTAATGATAATTTGTTGTGGAGATGTTATCTTGATTAATGTAAGTTAATGGAGCTCTAGATTTCTTGTAATGTCAATTGACTTTGAGGTGATTGCATTTGATACTGCTATTGATGGATTTTGACTATAACGTTAGTTACATTGATTGAAGAGCTCAATGAGGCTTGGGACTTGGTTTTTCAAGGTTTTAGTGAATTTCAGTTTGGAGTTTGGGTGTGTCCGTTGAGATCGAAAGCGAGATGTATTGAGGATCTCTCTCTATTGCTCTTTTGGTGTGTATTTTGATCCATATGGAAAAACTGGCATATACTGAAAACATGTTTGGTTTTGGAATTTTTGCGAGATTGCATTGCTTTTTTGTCTGTTTTCCTTTGTCTTTGGATTGCATGACATCAATACGGGTTGATTTCGTTTGCTTAAGTTGCAATTTACGTAAATTTTGAAATTTTATGCATATGGAATGATGCAGCAAGCCGGCCTCAGGATTTTCTGGCCCTTGGCCTTCCTGAGATGGGCAAATCACCGGCAAAATGGATCAAAACGGTGCTCTTTGGAAAGAAATCTTCAAAAGGTGGCATTCCTAAAGGAAGAGAGGTAAAACTATAGACTTTATACTCGAATGTTTCCTTTAATATTGACGTAAAGCAGACTTCACTATCATTTTCGTAGAGTTGCCCTTTGCATCAAAGTGATCTCTTCAATTTCATAAGTTTAACGTGACAACTTACACAAATTCTATATTTGTCTTTTGCCATTGTGTATAGAAAATTTCAAATGAGAAAGAGGTGGTGGTGGTTGCTGCCAGGGCAACCGGAGCTGATTATTCTTCAGATCCACCTGTGGCTTTCCATGAAACCACCAACACCATAAATAACAACCGAGAATTAGAATTGGAGAACAAGGAAACTCCAAGTGTATTAAGTGATGGAAGTCCAGGAATTCAAAGTATAGAAACACAAGGATCTGCGCCACAAGATTTGGTGCCGCTTGATCCTGAGAGAATCAGGCAAGAGCAAGCTGCAACAAAGGCACAGGCTGCCTTTAGGGGTTATCTAGTAAGTCTAGTGGATTAAATTTGTTTGTTTTGTCTACTGCTTATTGTATCACATTTTTTAGTTGAGATTACAAATTACTGAATGAATTGGTATATTATGTGAAGGCACGGCGAGCATTTTGGGCCGTCAAAGGAATAATAAGGTTACAGGCACTTATCCGTGGGCACCTGG